AATTTCTCTTATCACTTACACGTTTTACTTTGCACCTCGTTCACATGTAAATGTACTGGCCTGATGAGATTTTATCGAGAGAAACGCGTGTGCTCACCGAATGGCTCTCTGAATTATTGCTCCATGGCAATTTTATCAACTCCCAAAACCCAGCAGGCGGGCAGAAACACTTTCGTTTAACCCCTCTGTGGGGAACGCCAGGTGTGGAATGGCAGGGGAAAAAAAAGATTCCGAGCACCCGGATCCTGGAATCGACTAGCATTCTCAAGCTGCCAGCGTCATAAGGATGAATTATAACTGACGGTCAAGGCGACTCCCCTACGATGATACTGCCACCGGTAGTCGTCGTCGTCGTCGTCGTCGTCGTCAGAGATTTCAGAAGCGACATTAGAAGAACACCTTCCAGAAGCCGCTGAAAGGCCTAAGTAAAAATAAAGACATCCGGGAAATCTCCTTAACGCGACGGGGCGGTACCTCCAAAGTCACTAACAGACAAGCGACCGGAACAAAGTGGTAGAAATGCCAAACTGGACCTCCGAGGATCAGACGCACCAGGGCCGAATCCCTAACAAAATTTCCGCATTGCCAACGAACGGTAGCAAGGTCGGATACCCACGCATAACCCACAGTGGGCTCACTCTCAGGCCGTCCATTGCCACCGGAAAAGCCGCTCCAACATGCCTTCAGTGTGATCGCGCTTCTGCTGGACACCTCCGTAGTCATCCAAATATCAAAATTACCAGTTCACAGCTGCAAGCAGTGTCGTCACAATGCAAACTCCTACCGCATTCGTGTCCGGACTTTCCGGTGACGCTTTGGCTTAATCGGACATTCGCACACCCACCGTGGGATAAATAGTGAACGATTGTCATCTTGCTGGGCCAAACAGTTATAAAGCCTTCAACAACAATCAGTCAATGCTAACCTACAGGCCTTACTCAGACGGCGTCAGGCAATGTCGCAGGTAGCTGAACCATTCTGCCTATATCCTGCGCCGCTGTGCGGCTGCTGGTTGGGCTAGAGAGAGAGCCCATAAGGCACAACAGAACGAGGGAGTTCCGTAATAACGATCGGTGAGCGCCCTACCATTGTATATTCCCGATCGAAAACCGACAAGCCAACGGACCCGTGGCCCAGTGGTTAGAGGCGTGGACTTCTAACGAACAGGTCGCGAGTTCGAGCCTCGGGTGTTCCACACTTCGGGGTTGGGTATGACTGGCTGACGACGCCTAATAAGCCAGAAATGGTCATTCCAGTCTCCCTTGTCTTTGTCGGTAATGCCATTCTGCCAGTTATAAAGCCCCCCCCCCGATGCCGCGTTGACCTGTTCGGACACATGGGCATGTACGCGACAACTAAGGCCCTACCCACCATGCAAGCAACAACAGTCTTGTGGCGGAGTTTTCCTCCGTAGACTACGAAGACCGAACTATCACGCCTGCCCACGCCAGAGGTGACAAGGCCTGGTGAACGTGGAGGGTTGTGATTGGCCAGTGTGAAGAAAGGCAATAAATCTTGACGTGACTTCGGCCGTGCTAGTGCCTGTGAACTTTCAAGTAAATAGGGGTTACGCAGATGTCGGAGAGGGCATGAGCGAACACCAGCGGGGGCGGTGCTTGAAGGCATGCCCGCGTCCACACCTAACCTGAAACATCCGCCACCGGCTCTTTTCTTGGCCACACACCCCTCCGCACACCCGTCCACCGCATGGGACCGTTTGGCCATTAGTGCCTGTGTGTGTGCGCACACGGCAGCAGTCGTTATCACTCAAGTTCACACAGCTCCTTCACACACACAGATAGGCATGCTAAGCACTTATCCCATCCATCACTCACGCATAAGCCCCACTGCGACGTTTTTCAGCGTCTGAAGTGACGAGTGGACAGTTGTACCTCCTTATGTGCGTGTGCGTGTAGGTTTGGCCATAGACCAGGTAGATGCGTTGGACCAAGTATTCGTACTAAGGCACAATCTCGAATTTCGCCATAGCTACCAGCAACCGACGGTCGTCTGCTTTGCTGTCTTTGTCGCCGCGTTCGATGCCGCCCATCGTGAGTCCCTGTGGCGGATAATGGCCCTAGATGGTGAACCGACAGAAATCATCGTCATGATCAAGGCCGACAAGATCTTATTTTGTAGCCGTAGCTGTTAGCGGGTAGCGTTAGGGGTTAAGAGTTCGGGTTAGAGGTTATGGGTTGGGGTTGGGGTTAGGGGTAGGGGTTAGGGGCTGTGGTTAGGGGTTATGGGTTGGGTTTGGGGGTTAGGGGATAGGGTTAGGGGTTAAGGTGAGGGGTTTGGGTTAGGAGTTAGGGGTTAAAGGTAAGGTTAAAGGTTGGGCTGGGGCTTGTCTACTGCAAGTACGGCTAAGAAATAAGAACCGACCTCCACCACCACAGGAGTCCTGGTCTGCAGCAATCTTTCCCGACAGTTTACTATTCGATATGGCGCTCGACAGGGTTGTATCCTGTCGTTCCTTCTGTTTAATTACGCGATTGACAGGATTCTCGCGAGAGCCCTACATGAAAGTGACGGTGTTGAATTTGCGTCCGGACACCGACTGGCTGATCTCGACTATGCCGGTGATATTACCTTACTTGCTTCACGTTTTTATGATCTGCAGTCTATGGTGTCACTGGTGAACGAGGTCACTAAATCGGTCGGTTTATCCATAAAGGCAGGGAAGACTACAGTGTTTTCATGCTGCATCCCTGACCAAGAGAAAGCACATTTCGGGATTTGTGACTGTAAACTTGAAGAAGTAGACATTTCTAAATGCTTTGGTGTGAGGCCGCTTTCGAATGGACAGAGAAAGGACGACATTATCTCCCGAAATGATTTTGCCCGACGGGTTTTCGTTAGCCTTAGAAAATGCCTATGGGTCCGACGCGACCTCTCAATTACCGCTAAGATTCACGTGTACCGTGAATCTGTCCGGTCTGTCCTCCTATATGGTTGTGAATGCTGAGCTGTACGCGTGGAGGACGAGCGAAAACTGGAGATATTTGATCACCACTGCTTGAGGATCATTCTTTGAGTGAAGTACACGGACTTCGTCTCAAACGAGACAGTCCGCGCTCGCTGCGACAACATCGCGAGGATAACCCAGGCCATCCAAGAAAGACGGCTGAGGTGGTTTTGCAATGCTCTTCGTCGTCCATCTTAGGTGCTCAGTGTTACTGATCCGGCACCCTTACCCCATTGGAGGCATCGAAGGAGGGATCAACCCAAAATCCGGCTTGGCACAGTCCATCAAGACATGGAGGTGGCTTTTAGATCTTCGCTATTCGGCCTCCGTCGTTGGCGAAGGGAATGGGTTGAGCTGTCCAGATCTGCTGCCGCGGATCGTCACGCGCGGAGAGGTACAGTTCGGGACATGATCGAGGCCGGGCAGATCAGGCATGATCGCAGTCATACCAAGTACAAGTAAGGGCCACGTGGAAGATGCGCTGGACCAAGTGGTGGGCTAGATGGCGGTCCGGTAGGCGTTACTGGGATTGCGTACTCATAACAAATGCCAACGCCGGGGGTATGGCGGTACCCCCAGGCCGGGCCAGCTGGGATCCTTGTCGCTTCTTCTTTTGTTGTGTAAAATCCTGGTCAATTGTACGTTGTGGTTCAGGAGGGGGAATGTCGGTATGCCTAGGTATGGCTTTTTGCCTTGCCAGCCATCTGCGCCCTCTCTCGTCACTGGTCTTCTTCGACTTGGTCATGACGCTCGACCCAGGTAGGGAGGGAGGATTGAGTGCGGTAGATGCTTCGAAAGTCTACTATCACTATTCACGCGCAAGTCAACATCCCTGCTCTCGCCCTGCTGTGCATCACACGGTCTACATCGCCGGTCACGACAGTTGAACTATCGAGCGGGTGTGCGATTGACAGCCTGTGGGTCACGCCAACCACAAGGTCCAATCTTATTAACAGTCAGCCGACAGACTTGGACGGATCACTGGCGCATGGAAGGTGGATCCTAGGGAATCCTTCCGCATAATAATAATAACGCCTCTGAGGCGATCGAACGTATCACGACACGCTAAAAGTCGTGTCTTGAAAGGCCGCTGACTGACGAACTTACTCGCAGACTACAATAAGACATGGATGTGACTTTTTCGTCGCACCACCACTGCGTAAGATGTGAGGCTTCTTACGCCGGTGTGTGGGGGGCGAGAGACCAGGCCGATTGGGGCACACGCGTGGACAGGCCTTTTAGCTTAGCAAGACAGTGCGCTCACGGGCACCTCCAGTCGTCTTGTCCAAAAATGTCCTGTGACCGGAGCATGGCGGTTGAGGAATGGTCGGGGGGAAGAGGACGCAGCGAAAGTCTGGCTCAAGTCGCGGCTGCGCCTACTTCCTTGGGACGATGGTGGATCCAGCTCTCCGGGACGAGCGCCGGCAGGATGACAAAGATGATGCTGGCGAAGAGGAGGAGGAGGAGGAGGGGGTGGAGTTGGAGGAGAAAGAGGAGGGTGGAGAGGAGGAGGACAGGAAGGACAAGGAGGGCGATGAATACCCCAGGGGTTTGAGCAAAAACACGGTGTGAGTGTTCTCAGAGTGGTAGCCGTAAAATCCCCTCCCCTGAAGTGGCTTGGCTAAGTGAGGGTTGGCCTTATTTACACTTAAAAGCTCTTATGTGGAAGAGATTAATTTCCGGGACTGGGTGTCATTTTCTCCCTCCATTTTCACTGCCGTGTAGAACATTTGGCGCTGAAATTCGACCCATCTTCATTGTAATAAAAAGTAGTCCGTCACAGAAAAACTAGGTGTTACTGTTAAAAATGACTCACAAATGATAGAAGTCGTCCTAAGTTGTCTGTTTTCATATTTTCGAAATGCGCTCTCCGAGCATATGTTACGTTTGAAATTATCAGTATACGTCTGTTAATTTAAAAAACTATTGATCCAAAAGGTGATATTTTAGAATCAGCAATATACTTTCGCAAGTAATGCCATCCTTACGCCTTCTTTCCGTCCACTGGGCACACGGACAAGCGTCCAGCCTCGTAGTTTTAGGCGCAAGAAATGACGACTGATATAATCAAGACATCTTCTGAATGCTGCTTGTTAAATTCCTCAGAAATTAACCGCAAACTTGAAATAAATCAGTTTATACTATGGTCCATAGACACAGGCCAAAATTTGATGAATGAATATTCGGGCCGAAGTCCATCAGCCACAGCGGGATGAGCGGGTAATATTTGTTACCTGTCGACAGTTGGTTAGTAGTATATTTTAGCACAACACAGATACTAGCTAAAAGCCCAGACACGCGTGTTTCTCCGATATTCTATCACTGTATGGCACAGCTACGAGGGGTTCGGCTCTTCAGTGAGTGTGTGCTTTCAGGTAGATACTCCAGTCTAGAAATTGTTGCTTTTTAAGTTACTCAGAAATTAACTACTAACTTAGAGTAGATCAATTCCAAGCCAGCGGTTAATTTCCGAGGAATTTCAAAAGCCGTAATTGCTAAACTGGTGTATTTACCAGAAAACAGGCAGGGGATGCTGGGGTTAGGGGTTCTGGTTAGGACTTAGGCGTTAGGGTTTAGGGCTGCGGTTAGGGGATATGACAACTATTTCTCAACCACTCAAAGTACAACTGCGCATCCTCAATAGCGTTTCTTTTACATTCTATTACTTGACCATGTCATCTATGCGATCCCCGGCCCCACCTGTAAAAAGTCCTATTACCACCGGAACCGTATTACGGGTGGCTGGGGTTTGTTTACCTCAGGTGCGGCTAAATAGCCACATCTGATCGACTGGCTCAGAACTTTGTTTACATTTGCGTCACCGATAAGGCGAACTGAGTTCAAGTTTCGGCTGTGTCGTCTGTGACCAAGACAGCGTGTGGTGGCGACGGAAAGGCGGAGTCGGGGTGGGGGGGGGATTGCGAGAATTGCCTTTTGTCAGTGGTTTTTAGACAGTTACCCTTGGCCTCCTTTTTACGGAGTAAATCAGCCGAGAGGTGAAAGTACACTGGACGAAAATGCACGCTGCCATCATTGCGAATTAAAACAAAAAAACTGTGCCTTGGTAGCTCCCTGGACTCCGCGCCAGGGTTGAATTGATGATAATGCTGTTCAAGGAGCGAAAAAGGAGTCTAAATAAGGTGGCGCAGAAAAGGATAAAAAGTGAGTATTATGAAACATTACTACTACATCTTTCCCGATCGGAGACTGCAACACTGCAGTATACTCGATGATCATGAATGCTTCTATTGCTGGGACATGGAACCCACGGCCGTCTGGATGATCGATAGACCGGAATACAGTGATCCCTCACGAAAAATGAAAATTCTCAAAGTAAAAACCATTTGTTTTGATGATTATTTTTATGTGCTAGATCCTTAGAAGCCCTTTTACATTCCTACAAACAGTTCTCCCAAGTTATACAACATAAACCTTTTAACTTCTCTTAGGTATTAGGCAAAATTCGATTAAATTATGGATGTAAATATAGAACGATTCCTAAACTGGAGTATCTACCAGAAAACACGCGGGGAATGCTACCGGACCCACTGAAGTGCCCAACGCCTCGCAGCTGTGCCATGCAGCGGCAGAATATTGGCGAAACACGTGTGTGTCTGGGCTAGCGCCTGTGCTGCTAGTATGACATCTTCTAATGCCCAAACATCCACTGATGCCCTAAGATTTGTTAGTCTAAAATCTCCCCCCCCTCACAGTGCCAAATACCAAAGGTGTCGCCGACTGACGTCAGTAGCTGCCTCTGTCAGCTGAGTTAGGAATGTGTGCGCGTTGTCGCAAAGCTGTCACCCGCATCGCGCACAAAAGTGGGAGTGTTGCCTTTTTTCCTGACAAGGTCCCACAGCCTTTGCCGTGAACTGGCCTTCTTAAAAACACCATGCACGCTCTGTAGACTGCTCCGGCCTCCACGACCGAGACCCTGTCAAATTCGTTGATTAGTTTGAAAAGGTCACTAGAGACGACTGAGTCTGGGCGAGTCACGATTTCGCAGTGGCAGGTAGGTTATAAATGTATATATGCGTATATGCATATACATACATGTATATATATATATATATATATATATTAAAGGTATTATACCGTACTCCCGACATAGATACTTGCTAAAAGCCCAGACACGTGTTTCGCCGATATTCTGCCGCTGCGTGACACAGCTGCGAGGGGTTCGGCTCTTCAGTGGGACCCCCAGCTTTCTCTAGCGGTTTCTGGTATATGAACTCCAGAGGATAATCAGGTGAATAATTTCAGAAATTAATCAGTGCAGGACTTGGAGTTAAATCTCCGGGACATGACTTTTTTATATATATATATATGCATATATATGTGCGTATATTTTTGCGTATATATTTGGAAGGTTAGAGACAGAGCTCTTGATGACCCTATTTATGTACAGTGCTTTCGCAGATTCGCAGTCAAAATAAAATTTCAGGCAGTTACAACGTGATCGGGTCACAGTACAATCGTAGTGATAAGGGAGTGCATCAGTTCACTGTAAGTTAGTGCGGAGGGATTGTATATGACAGTGTTTTCCGGAACTGACTGTGGGTAGTCATGCTGTAAAAGCCGATTTCTGTCGAAAATTAGGCGAGCAAGTGTTCTTTTAAACATTGTGTCAGCCGTCACCATCTCGCTTGGATGCGAGTTTCACGGTCGGACAATCCGCCTGGCTGAATGAAAACTTTTTACGGTCTAACCGCGTGCGCTCACTCTTGACTTTGTAGGCATGACCGCGTAATTGGTTCGTACGGGCAAACTCAAAGAAGTCCTCCGTTCTTAATGAGCAACCATGGCCGCGGACAATCCGGAATGTTTAAAGTAGATTGCAGATGAGTTGTCTATAAGAGAGAGGGAATAAGCCAGGCACATCCAGCCTCTCCTGTTAAGACAGATGCTCTGGACCGTCGACCATCTTCGTAGCTCTGCTTTGCACCTGGTTGAGTAAGTCGATATCCTTCCTCATACACGGTGAAGCTGTTGGCATTCCATACTCCAGTTTCGGTCTTACAACGACACCAAAACACGCAACACTGTCTTTATGATCCTGTAGATACAGAAGCTGGCATTAAGAGCATATTTGAACTGTGTGCTTCAATTGTAGTGTCGTTAATTTTGATAACTTTATTTGGAATGATCCCTTCGTAAACATAGTCTAGAGAAGACTGCAAGAACTGATCGATATCAAGAAAAGTTATTCGAAATTCTGAAATCGGCTTTCGATTTGGAAGGATTACGTAGGTCGAATTGAAGTACTGACCATCACGCGGCATAATCCTATGATACTTCGGACTCACCAGGACGTTGTCTTTTGAACGTACTTCTTTTCGAACTCCTGTAAAAACTGCACTCGGTAAAAAAAAAACAACTTCAGCCGTATGCATTTTCACGTCGATTTTCGATGGCCTTATAGATTCAAATGTATTTAATTGAAAGCATGCCTAATAAGATGCTCGCTTTTACTCATTTGGTAGCAAAGCCCGTCATCTTTGCATTTTACACTCGAGCAAATAGCACCTTTCGGTTTTGAAAAATTTCTAATTATGAGGGGTTTTAAGACCGTACAATGTCCACTCAGGCAACATTGTACCTGTCCGTTTATTAATGCTCCCCATGAAATATGCAACATAGTCTGAATCCACTACAAAAATTACTGAACTCCACATGGTATCTTCCTAAAGGCATAGAGGAATATGTGATTTTCCGGCAAGGGTCGATTACGCTGTTGTGGTCTCAAATGCAATCGGAATGTGGGCATTGAAAGTAAGGTAAGCCGAAGGGGGATGCTGAAATCGGTAGTGGGAAAGTGGTCAAGACCGATATATGACAAATCCGCCGAAAAACTGAAGGAAGCCAAGAATTCCCGCAAAAGACATGGCTGACAGGACACCCGGGGCAGCTGTACTCAAACCGAACGGTAAACCTAACCGTAACCTCAAAAGTATGCCCTATCCTTAACTTATTTATAAACGAGCGCTAACCCTAAGCTTAACATCAAACCTAACCCTAAGCCAACCACAAAACCCCAGATCTAACCCTATGTTTAATCTTAACCTTAACCCAAACTCTAACCCAAAACTCAACCGCAACCCTACACTAACCCCAACCTTAACACTACACGTAGGCCTCAACCGCGATCCGAACCCCAGCGCTAACCGAAACCCTTAAACTTAATTCTAACCAAAACCCTACAAAGAACCCTACCTCTAAACCGAAAAGTCAAGTTACTATTTTTCGTTTTAGCTTCGGCTACTTTGCCACTAACGATTTTGGCATCCTACGTTGGCTTACTTCACCTGTGATGCCCACACTGGGCTTACACTTTGAACCAAGACGAGGTAACCGACCACTACCGATTCTCCTCATGAGAAAAGTACATGCCCCGTAGAATGAAATCGCTGATCTGGCTCATAATTATTAAGGAATTGGAAAACTACTTTAAAACCTAAATAGAAACTTTCTCCGAGCATAAAATGCGGAGATGACGTGATTTGTTACCAAATGAGTAAAAGATGGCACATTTTGTGCATGTTCTCTGTACGATATCTATAAGGCCATAGAGA